CGTATGGTTCTTACATCCATCACATAACAGAACCAATGGTAATTGAAAAGGGTGGGGCTAAATATGAAGTCACAGTCTCTAATGTTATATCCTAAGTGCTCCAGCAAGATGTTCATGGTTTTCCACGCTCCACATAAGAGGATTAGTGGCCATTGTTTGCATGAACTCGGGTAAAAACATGTGCCTATTCACAGGACCCTAGTTCTCTTTCTCATCTCCTACCAAATTTCCTGCCACCATAGACATGAACAATATCCAAACACAAATAATTAGTCATAAATATAATGACATTGCTATTTCTCTATCTATGTAAACAACTGTCTTACCTTGTCGTTCATTTGTTTCCTATCTTGTACGCAGCAAAGCTCAGCACGTGTTAGGAATTACCCATACATCTCTATAATGTACCTACAGTAAAAGAAAGAATAAGCAATTAAGTTGTATGTCTAAAATTATTGTCAGTTAGTTGTCCCAATTAGAATCAGTCCCAACACTTACTTGCCACCTTCATCTTCATCACATCTTGTTGTCAACATCTAGAATATTCCTCTTTCTAATCAAGTTTTCTCTTGCCACTGCCTTTTTTCACCTCCTCTAACCAGGGAGATTTGATTGCACGACTTTTCACCCGTGTTGATCTTCTTACTTCTATTTGCTGTTGTGCTTCCTTGTTCATTTCATCCTTTTCTCCTCATTATTACCTTCCCCTTATCATTTTCCTCCGCTGTATCACTAGACTTGTCTTTAGTTTTTTCTTCTCCATCATCCTCTGATCCAAAGTCACTCCCTTCTCCTTTCTCTTCATGTTGAGATAGGCTCTCTATCTTTAGGCGGAGTACTTATCTCCTCTTCTTTATCATCTTTTTCTAGTTCACTCCCTTCTCCTTTCTTTTCATGTTGAGATTTACTTTCTTCTTCAAGTGGACCACTTTTTCCTCTTCCTTATCATCTTTCTCTGGTTTACTCTGTTTTTCCTCATCTATTGAATCTTTTGGGCTTTATTTACCATCTCTACTAGTTTCTTCATCTTCACTTGAGTTCTCTTAATCATCTTCTCTACTTATTGCTTCCATCACATCTTCCTTCTTACTCTTATCCGTTAACCTCAACTACAGGGAAGCTAACTCTTCTCCAATTGTTGACACCAACCCTTCAACCATGGTTACCAACCTTCCATACGTTCTCTTTATTTCCTGTAAAATAACAATAATTAAAGTAATCATTAATCCAAATTGTACACAGCACCAAAATAAGCTCGGCATTATTTACTTACCAAGTGAGTTAGCTTTATTTCTGTATTAGATGCACTAGATGAAGCCCCACCGACATTGGTAATACCATGTGGTAAGCCTTTATCACTACTCTTTTCTGATTTTACTCTTGCCTTCACTTTTTTCTCATCTCAATAGATAATGACACTCATTTTTTGAAACCTTTTCTTTTCCTAGAGAAAAGTGTTGTAAGCAATAAATCTGTATATCAAGTAAATGATAACTTAGCTATACAATAATGACAACATGTAGAGAGGCCATTGACAACATACACACCAGGCAATCACAACCTACACATAAGCCAATCACAACCTGTATTTGTACCATTCACAACATGCACAGAAGCCAATCACAACCCACACTTAACCAAATAACAACATGCACAGTATACAGTCACAATCTACAAATAAGCCAATAACAACCTACATTTATGCCATTCACAAGATGCATAAAAGCCAATCACAACCCACACTTAACCGAATGACAATATGTACAACATATAGTCACAACCTACACAAAAACCAATAACAACCTACATTTGTGCCATTTACAACATGTACAAAAGCCAATTACAATTCACACTTAACTGAATAACAACATGCACAACATACAATTACAAGCTACACATAAGCCAATCACAACCTGCATTTGTACCATTCATAATATGCACAAAAGCCAATCACAACCCACACTTAACCAAATGACAACATGTACAACATACAGTCACAACATATACATCAGCCAATCATAATCTACATTTGTGCCATTCATAACATGCACAGAAACTAATCATAACCCACACTTAACCCAATGACAACGAGCACAGCATACAGTCACAACCTATGTTTGTGCCATTAACAACAGCCAATTACAACTTATATATAAGTGACTGACAAACCAATAGAGGCCAATGACATGCACAACAACCAATTACAATATATACATAAGCAAGTGACAAACTAACAGAGGCTACTAACAACGTGCACACTAGCCAATTACACATATACATTAACAAGTGACAAACCAACAGAAGCCAATGACAACATGCACACGAGACAATAACAACCTTCACACGAGCCAATCACAACATACACATAAGCATTTGATAACATCAATACTAGTGAATAACAACATACAGAGCAACCAATTACAACATACATAGCACCCATTAATAACAACACATCGCACATTTACAATACAACTAACATCAAAGTAAATGAATCATACTCACACTTACCATTAAAAAGTATAAGCAACCTCCCATGTTTTTTGTTCCATTAGCTTTTCCTTTCTTTTTCCCTTTCTTGAACCCTGCAATTGAGTTGCAAAATTCTCTAAAAATAAAGCTGCTCCAATCATGTTGTCCAAAACTATCATTTGTTGCCACCATGACCTTCAACACTTTATCAGTGACCCATACACTTGAACCAGGACACAAGAAGACTCCTAATGCATACATACTAAAAAAGAATTCAAACTTTTCATCCTCTTTGCCTTCAATCAACCATCTTCCTATTGTTTTGTATGACACTTTCCTGTAGTTACTCCTTAATTCCTTAAATGTTTCATTTTCATTCTCCACATTCATTTTAATTTTTTTCCCTTAAATGGTAGGCCCATCAATTGATTTACATCTCCAAGCCCCATTTGATGCGTCTTCTCTCGAATTAAAATTTTCTTACTTACAGGGTCAAACACATGGATCAATTCACCACAAAAATCTCTATAAATTTATGAGCAGCATATTTTAACCAATTTATCAAAACCAATTCTTTTCAGCCTTTTCATCTTATGTTCACTTTTCTTTAAGTGCTTACAAACTTTCATAAATTGTCCCAAAGCACACTGTGTGTGGAAGGGAACAATATAATTCTTTCCTTTTGGTGGGACTCTCATTTCTTTAACCCTTTCACTATATTGTTCTCTCTCCTCTTCTGTTAACTTCCCCTAAGCCTTTTTCACAGAGTTACTGCCCTCTTCAAAAGACTTGAACTTCTTCTTGTTCTTCTCATAAAATTCCTTAGTAAATAGTTTGTATCTTGAGAAATTTCTATGCCTTTGTCCATCTTTGCTCTTACTCTTTTTAGCCATTTTGTTCAACTGCAAAAAGGGGGGGAAAAATACTATCATCACATTATAAGTTTCCAACTGCTTGTCACTATCTTAGCCAATTACAATGTTCATATTAGATAGAGAAGTTCAAGCTTGACTTTATTTAATATTTTTATTTCATATTTTCTTTTCTACTGAAATCTAATAATATCTTCTGCAAAATAAAAAGGACAACTATGTTCCACTTTACTTTCAATATACCACGTATTTTTATCTTCAAAATCTAAGACACAGTACCTGTAACAGCTTACTTCTAAAATATTAGTGTTTCATGAGTTTTATGATAGCTTTAGGATATCCAGCTTCTCTTACCCATATAACATACTAACTCTATTATCTGAATGTTATCCTTAATATATATATATATATATATATATAAAAGAGGAATCGAAACTTCATTACAGGGAACCTAAAAGAATAATTTCTACAATAAAGCCAAAAATTGCCATCCATCAATACTTGAATATTGAAAGCCAGATATAGAAGCAAAAATTACAAAGCATAGGCAAAAATCGCGCTTGCTAGATCTGACATTCTCACCATGTGGCGTTCTCAAAGCGTTGGAGCAGGCTTTTTAGGAAGTGGGTTGCCGATGGTGGTGGGTGAGACAATGTGAGAGCAGTGAAGATAATGGAGACGCAGCAGGTTGTGCTCGCCTGTGGTAGTTCCCTTTGCCGATAGGTTAAGGTAATCACAGGTTGCGGGAGACGAAAAAATGAGAATGGTAAAAACAGAATTCCATAGAATTGTTCAGATGACAAAGAAGAAAATGATAGTAGAACAAGGACTCACCTGAAGAGAACCAACGATGAACCCATGATGCCAACGACGAACACAACACGAACTCCTTAGGGAAGTGGTTTTTCAAACAAATGACAGTTAAAGGGAGACAAATAGAGTAGGGGCCGAGAGTTTGAGGCGGGAAAAATATTCAAACTCAAATTAATTAGGATGGGGGTAAGTATGTAATTTCACAATTCTAATTTTTTGCTCGAGATCCCTAAAGACATAGGAAGCATTTGGGGATTTTGAAAGACTTTTTCAGAATTAATTATTTTCAGTGAGACCTGTGTGTAATTTTCTTTTTATTTTTTTTACCTCAGTACTTTTTCAGAATTAATTTTTCTTGCCATTGTGCCAACTAGGGTTGTTCAAGGTCGGCCCGTTTCGGTCCTGGCCTAATTGGGACGGGACAGATCCGTCTCGAAAAATTTTAGGACAAGACAAACCGAGACGGGACGGGACAATCAGGGACGGGATTGTCCCGTCACAATCCCGTCCCAGTTCCTTTTTTTTTTTTAATTTTTTATCCTATTTATATAATATTATTTTTTAGAATTTTTAGCAAGTTTTTATTGTGTTAAAAGCTTTTGTTTAGAGTTTTTAATGACTATTATATGTAATATTTTGGGCTTTTGTTAAAGACTGTCCAAACAAATAAAAAAGAAAATAAAAAGATGTTTTTATAAGGCATAAACCCAAAAAACTATAATTAAAAAAATAGATTTTATTAAAAAAATTAAAAAAATTTAGAAAAATAAAAAAAAATATTGGGGCGTCCCGATCGGGAGCGGGACAGCACTGGGACTAGCCGGGACACAAGACAGATTTTCTATCATGTTACTGTTTATTAGAACGGGACGGGTCTATCCCAGTCCCGATCCGTCCCGTGAACAACCGTGGACTGCCAACGTGCCATGGGCGCCCGAGTCAAATTTGAATTTCCATTTTGCGAAGCCTGTGATATTCCATAGCGATACGGATGCCAAGCCAATGCTCCACTCTCTACCACTGCTAGCGATGGACCCTTCCAACAACACTGAAACGGAAGATGAAACCATTGCGTTCAAAAAGAAGAGAGCTCGCCGTGTTAGTTTCGCCGACAATGAGATTACCTCCGTTCACATCTTTCGAAGGGATGACGAGGATTCTGAATCACCTTTTGAATCCACCAAACCCTGCTCCCCTGCCGACGGGAAAAGTCCGGAGAACGAAGTTCCAGGGTTTTTTAGGGACTTAGCAGGTGATAGCGATGAGGAGGATCTCAAAGAGTCGCCGGCGCCTCGCAATGCTTGCGGGAATGGTGACGACAATGATGATGAAGGTGAAGCTGCGAATGTGAGAAAGTCCTTTCTGAAGCCAATTGGTTCTCCTTCTCCGGGTAGCAGCACTGCTGGTTCCATCGCCTCAACTGACGATGGCAAGTTCTTGTCCCTGTTCTCTCATAATTTCGTTCGTATGTTAGGAAAGTGCGAAATAGGTGGCGGGAAGGAAAACAGCGCAGGACAGTGGCTTCTATGCGGTTCAACACCCCCCCCCCCCAAAAAAAACCAAAAAAAAAAAAAAAAAACACACCCCACTGTTTTTCTTCAAAAATAAATTTGCATTAATAGTTGGTATTTCCCCACTTTAACCATGTTTAGTTTCGTATGTTGGTTTGGACATTGGAATTCTGACTGCATCCGATCAATTTAGTAAAATATGTTGAGTCCCAAGTAAATAATTTGGATGCTTTTATTTTGCCAATGGGTTTATATCGATGGGGAAAAAAGACTTTTTTGTGGCTACTATGCACATGAGAAAACCCTGACTGGGAGGCTAACATTTATCATAATAACTAGCTTTTAATTCAATTTGCTCTCAGTGAATACATGTCTCGTATGAGATTGGTGTTTAAGTTCCAATTCCATTTTTCAGAAGATGAATTTCATGGTCCTGTATCTGCAAGTTTCATTAGGCCTGGAGAGCTCTCTGACTCCGCTGCCTCAGATGGTAATCATGATCTTACGATGGATTCAACTGCATTTTCGTTGCACTACCGGAGTCTTGCTTGTTCAGATACCGGAGATCTTAAGACCCCTACAAGATTTGCCGCTCCATTTGAAGACAAAACTCCTAGCGCAACTTCTGGCCGCACTGCATCAGGAAGTTTTATGGAACTTACTAAAATTTCCAGGCTGTCTCCTCATCCTTCAGTTCCTGCTGACACATCAAGTGTCAGTAAAGACTCAAGTGATATGAGTATTGTAGGAGAAAACCCACGTAGATATGATTATCACAGACTTTCTCCTTCAATAGAAGCAATGTTAGCTGAAGGAAGCAAGGATTTGCTTCCTGCCCCTGAGTTAGATTCTACCGGCTCAGGTTTATCAAGACCAAGTAAGGCATCTCCAACTTGGCAGAACAACAATGGGGGGAGAAGCCCATCAAATCCAGCAACGAATGATACTTCAGGACATAAGGAGATGAATATATCTTCCAAGAGCCCTCCTATTAATGGAATCACCAATATTCTATTATTTGACAAAGGTGATAATACAGTTGCTGATGCTTCCACCAACCAAACCCAAAGCTATGATTGTACAATCAAAGTAAGCATCATGTCATGTTAGTATTTTATTGAAGTCTTTGTCTCTTGCTTTACATATTTATTTTCGTTTATTTAAAGCATTTTTTATGTAATGGAGGAAATGTTTTTAGTGAATGCCTGACGTTCATGCATTTTGCTGCTATCAAGACAGACTTTATTGTTCTTGTTCTTGTTTTTGTTATTAATGTTCTCTTACCTAATGTTTATTTCGTTCTTGATCATACTACCTTTGGCCTTCTCCTCCTAGTTAGATGCCAGTGAGGAATTTATTCTTATCAGAATTTTAGAATTTCAGTTGAGCATAGGGGTGATGATAATTGTAAAGTTATCTCACATCTATTCATGCTTGAATGTATTCCCCTGTGGGAGTAATGTTTGTGCTCTCTGTTGACATTGGAGATACTTGCAGTACTTATTTTGCATAGTTTTTCTGATGGATTTAGTATGGGGTGAGCTTTGCGAGTATTTATTCATAGAGCAGAGGCATGCATGCAGCTCCTCTTTTTGGTCCCTTCGCTCCATCAGCATGAGCTCACCCTTGAAATCTCATCCCCCAGTGTTTCTTTTGCATTTCACTCTGACTTTTCTTCATAGATTCTACTCTTACCTCCTTCTTGTACTAACCATACCCCATAATATTAGCACTTCGATACCAAAAATGATGAAACCGTGTTCTATATTGATTTAAAGGGCAATTTACATTTCTCTACATCTTGGACAAAGAAATCATATGTGACAGCTTTGGAGACCTGTGTGAATAAGCTTGTTGGTCTTCATGTGACTGTTTGTAGGTTTGCATCCCAACATACGTGTCTCTTCAAGAAGATCCAATGTGCATTTCCTTAGGTAGATGGTGATGTAGATTGGAGTTAAAAACTAGTGTATACTGATCTGAATTATTTACAGCCAACACGTACAGGATTATAATGAACTTGGACATATGCCTGTCAAATGGGTTTCTAGGAGAAAACCTGGTTAGGATATCAGCAGTCTATTGATGAATAAATATGTGGTCCAATGACTGCTAAGACAATCAATTTTAATGTGCTTAGATTTTAATCAAGTCTGTTCTGGGCTGTATTTTTTGCTGTTTGATCGTCACAAAAGACTTTCTTGCATTTTGAGGGAGGAAATTTTAAATCTTCAAGCAGTCAATTAAGATAATAAGGAAACATATGGTAACAGAAAGAATTAACTAGAACAAACGAGGAAACCATAGTAACTAGAAAAGAAAGTTGCAATAACCGGCCATTTCTGAACTCTGGCAATCCTTGTATTCTTTAAAACTCTCTGCGAGTGTTCTTTCATATATTCATTGGACTGTTATCTGTTGACTGTATAAGAAAGCAGATTGTGATTGTGATGAGTTGTCATATTTCTAGGGCATGCAGCAAGATGGTTTATATCTGTTTGTAAATTATTTGTGTTGTTGGGTATTTTATTCTTCAGATTGTAGTGTTTGATGCCTTCATTTTTAGGGAACTTTGTTATTCAAATAATTACAGGCATTTGAGCAGCCAGGGTGCTTATATATGCATAATATTCCACTCTCTGTTATTTGTTGTGGATGGTTTGGGAGGAATATCACAATTTAATAGCAAATGGCTGCTTTTACAAGATTTTCTGAACCTTCCAAATTGTTTATTCCTTTAATATGCTGAATGTTTCACTCCTGGTTCTACTTCTACCTCTCTTTTTAGTCTAATTTTGCATTACTTTTTGGTCTTAATGCTCTTGTTCTCTTGTAGAGGGGCTCCAACATTTTGTGTGCATGTTGTGCACTTGGTTGTGTCTCCCTTGGCTTTGTTTAGTACATCATTATTTTCAGGAGATAAATTTTTTTGCTCGCATGATGTGATTGATCAAATTACATTGTTGATATGCATGGCTTGCAGTGGCAGTTTTGTATCTAATGCTGTTTATGTTGAGTTACATGCTTGAAGGCATTGTAGCTTTTATTTGTGTTTTGTACATAATATATATCAATACATATATGCAGGGAATTAAGGAGTTTGTTAAAGATGCTGCTGGGCCAGCTAAAAAGCAATTGGACTTTGCTGTTGCTAATATGAAAAGCCCACCAGAGATTGATGATTGCTTGGAGGTCTCATTAAAACATGACCTTGGATATCACTATCTGAATGAAAACCGGGTGAAGGAAATTAATCTGAAAGAAGCAGCCAGTGTATCCGACAATGATCCCAATCAAGTAGATGGAAATCTAATACAGGAATCAACTCCATCTCCATTTTCTGGGAGAGAGCATTTATTAGCGGTTTCTCCGGATTCATCTGGACCTAATGGAGCTAATACTCCTCCGTTAAAGTGGTCAAGTTCCTTATTACTTGACAAATATATAAGAAATGCAGAGACACCATCATCCATACTCCAAAACATTTCCAAGTTGAAAAATCTTGGGACATCTTCCAAGACATCAAGTGTTAGAGAGGGAATAGAGAGATCAAAGAGCAGGTTATCAAAATACTCGCTGGGGTCTACGCCTCTTAATATGAAAGTCAATGAGTACGAACATATCAGAAATCTCAATGCTCATTTGGAGAACCAGCTATTTATTGTTACCACGACGAATATAGGGCAACAGAGTTTGACCAACATGGATGCTCATGGAGCTGCATCTTTGATGGATTTGGGAAAATTAAGTCAAAATGAAGAAACTGTGGACTCTAGAATGGCGGGAGAACCTTACCATTGCACTACTGCTGACATTTCTCATGATGATAAAAACCCCAAGTCAGTGGAAATGGCTGCTTGTCCCTCAAATATGCTTCATTCAACAGCACAAAAGATAAATTTCGACCTGGCAGATGGCACAGTTGAGACCATAAAAGATGAAAATGGGGTTTTAATGCATAAAAGATATTCTTCTCCTTTGGAATTATTGCACCAGAAATCATCATCCTTAGAGAGCCAAAAGAATTGCTTTAGTAAGTTGGAGCAGCTAGATTTGCATAATGCTTCTTGTAATCACTCAGGGCATTCTGATGAACGCAGCTCTACAGCTACAGTAGCCAAGCATATGGAGGTGCCTATATCTGCAAAGAGTGAAAGGTTAGCTTTTGAAGTTGCAGATATCGTCCAATTTCCTAAGGTATGAAGAAAACTTAAGACCTATAAGTTTGATCAAATTCAGAGACGTCTGTTACAGTAGTTTGAAACAAGTCTATTCTTGATATTAGTTCATCTATTTATATGGTTAGTGCTCCTCTAGCTTCTATTATTTTCTTTACCTTTCTATGTTAAATTCACATGTCTATTTAGCTCTACTTCCTTTGAAAAGTGAAACTTTTGGAAGAAGACCATGTCAAACAACTATGGTTACATCGAAGTTATTTGAATCAAATAATTTGATGTTTAAACTTCCAATATCTGTAATTGGTATAGTACTTACTGGTTCTCATCAGCATTATGATTATTACTGTCACATTGGTCCTGATTTTGCCTAAACACATTACAGAAATTCTTGATTTTCTTAGGCTACATATAGTTGCAGGATGGAAAAAATGAAAGAGGTAACATGCATGCAAATCACTCGGGTACTTCATAAATAATAATAGAAAGAAATAGTACTGTTGATGACTGATAATAATGGCACAAGAGACACTGTAGAACCAACTGATACCTAGTTTCTTGCGGCTACCTTTTGCCGCACCTGTGCCATGTGCTCCCAAACATATCCTTGATATTAATAATACTGAAAATATTTTTCTTGAAATAGATGTGCCTAAGAAGAGTTCGAGCATGTCTTACTGCTAATGGAAACATTGCTTCTGGTTTTTCCTTTATTTTATATTGTTGATTGTTGATGTTGATGTTGATTGTTGATGTTATTCCTCTCTTCTTTGTCCATGTTGATCTGACAATGATTTTGTTTGATGGGTAACTTAGGCTATGTACGAAAAAAATTCAGCTGAGAGACTGGACAACAAAGCACAAGTTCTAAGCACCTATACGGAAGGTATAAAACAAAGTCCAATCCAAGAAGCATCAATTTTGTTATCCCCTGTGGAAGGGATGCCCACCAAATCACTACACCATAACTCAGATGGTTCCTACGATAACTACCATCAGATGCTACAAACCCAAGTTGCTGACAGCCCTTCTAATGAATTTTGCGTGGAGAATCATTCTGGGAAAAAACGAAAAGCAATCAAACTACTAAGGGAAGAAAACATTGTAGATAAAATAGCGAGAATTGATGGTACTTTAAATGTTCATACGAATGAGAATATGGATTTACAGATAATCTTGCAGCAGTCAGGTGATGTAAGTGATAGACAGAAGCTTGGCAGTCAGACATGCAAGAATTATGTTGATGTATGATTTTTGTTTGTGAAATGTTTATTACATTTCAGTTGTATCATTGCATCTCTTGACTATGCATATTTCTTGCAGATTCTAGCAAAATTCTCAGGGAGCACAACTCAGTTGCTTGGTCCCTCAGCAGATAAGCTAAATTTGAAAATGGTATGCTCCATGCAATTGAATTTCGGATATAGATAGAGAATTGACGGAACATCATGTAGATTTGCAAATATTATTTATTTTTTTCACTTCATTACCCATGTCAATTTTCATAAATTTTGTGGAAACCAAACATTTGACTTGTTCTTGCTAATTCTCTATATTAGATTGGCATGCTGAAAGATATTTTGGTTCATCTGTGGAGGGTTATGAAGTTTGAGATTCTTTGTGCTGAAATTCATTCTCAGGTGTGTCTAATAATCACATGTAAGTTATGTTTTCGGTGATTGGACTGTGTTCCTTCTCATTGATTCTACTTGTTTGGATTTCAGCAGAAAATAACCAAGCCTCAAAGCATTCGTCATAGAAAGTAATTATCTTACTCTAAATAATTAAGTCTCTTCGTGGATCAAGTTTTTTCCCTTTTGGTTTGTTATGAAAATTTTAGGATGATTGCGATTATTGGCAACTGCATATTTCTTTTCCAGAGTCATGGAAACAAGAACGATGCTGTATAGCATAGCATATGAGAAGGCAAAACTGCAACTAATGCGTATGAAGCGTGAGATCTTACAGGTATTCTATTGCAAATTTCTTAGCTATTTAAATTCTTACAGTGTGTGATATGCACTCCTATCACTTGCAGAAAAAGATACAGCAATTGGGCTCTGGGCTTCAGGAGTGTGAAACATTGAAGTCAACTTATGCTCCATTTTTGTCTAAAATTGTGGCATCCAATAATACTCCTGCTAAGAGTCTCTTCCTTCCCATCTCCATCAGTTCTGAAGGAAAACGTCAGGTATGTGTATGTTGAAGTTATGGTCTTTGACCAAGTGATAAGGGCTTTCAGAATCATCGTGTTACCTTTTTAATATTTGTTACAAGATAATTCACGAGAAACAGGCCCTGTGGGTGGTAGTGGAATAAGAAATAAGTTGAAAAAAAGTTCCAAATAAGTAATACTCCCTCCGGTCCTAAGTGTAAGACCTATTTTGTAGTGTAATTTACATTACAAAATAGGTCTTACATTTAGGACTGGAGGAGTACTATGGCCTTAGATTACCACTTTTTTCCCTGTAAAATCCCACTATTTGAAAACTTGGCATTAATTTCTCTCTTGTTCTCATTTCCCTGACTTTGATTATGATTAGCTAGTAATCTATAGTTCGCCACATTAGAATTCGCCTCAAGAAATGCAATTTGCATTGAGCCTGACCCTACTAATAAAATTGCATCATCTTGAAGAAGCTGTTCAGCTTTCTCCACCAGATCTTCCTTTAACAGGAGTATTTCAGTTTTGCCTTGAGTATTGTCCCATAGTGACATAGAATGCTATCAAGGACGAGGAGAGCAGAAAATTTCTGTTCATTTATTCTGATACCATTCTCCATCTGACAGTTTGGACTAAACATGTTCAAGTTTAAGCAAAATAAATCTTTCTTCTAGACTACTCCCACCTCTTTTTGTCTGAGAGAAATGTGGAAAGGGTAAATGTTAGTTGGGAATTCTCGAACCCTCACTTCCGTAAGAAAAGTTGATTATCCATATATCTTCATTTGACATCTTGATCTGCCCAGCAATGCTCTTAAACACACAAACACACACATATACTGGTTAAAATGTTTGCCTCTACATATCATACCTGATGCATCCTATTTATATTTGGTTGGTGCAGTTGTATATTAGGATGTATAGAACATTGTGCTTCCCCTATTTAACTGGCAATCTTGATTTGACAATGTTCTGTCTCTTGCAACAAAATGAAGGCAATGTCGTTGGAGCTTGAATCTTTGGTTCACCAGGCAAAATCCTTAACTAAATTCCTTCATAATTGCTGCAAGTTGGAGGATGATCAGAAGAGTGCTGGTTCTATAACCCTAGTTCATGATTATTTGAAGAAAAGAATGTCCTGTAAGCTTATATCTCGAAATCTGCAGGTATTTCTGCTTTTCTCATGGTTGTCTTGTACGTGTATTAAACTATCCTCTGCTCTGACTGTGTCTTCATTATTATCCTTTTCCTAGGTTTGGGAAATTGACAATTTTGAGCATAAGGATGCTTGTTACGAAATTCTTCTCAAGTATTGTGGTTGCATCATCCAAAGGTTAAATCTTGATTTAATTCCTTGTGTGTCTATGTATGGTTGGAGTTTTAGTAAATAACTGATTATAAAACTAAGTGTGCATGTGTCTTCATATGCCATGTAGGTTGATAGTACATACCGATTCACCAACAATAATAATCTCCAACAAATTGAATGATCAAACTATCTTAAAGGTAATTTAAGTGTCAATTAATTTTATTCCATTACTCATACTTATGTTGTTTTAATGTGTTGTTGTTTTTTTTTTTTTTTTGGATTTAGGCCTTTCCAAATATGGATGCTTTTGCAGCGTTTATGTTTGTCTTAAATCCTGATACCACTAAGAAATGCAATGGTTCAAGATGTTTGGCACAAGAGACTCAGGTAACCATCGATAATTCTCATGTTGCATTGGATTTACTTGATGTTGAGCTTCTTTTCTAAAGGATTATGTTTATTATTTTTACAAGGTAGTAGTTGCGATTATTGATTGAATGTTGTTATTATTAATATTAATAATTTGATTTATGATGACAATGACAAGCTACACTTAAAAATTTCATTTTGCTAACCTTCTTTATCACAAAGTCAAAGGCACTGCGCTGTCAGGCTTAGAGTGTAAGGCATTTAGCCCCGCATCTCTAGCATGCATCATGAGAGATGCTGCCTTCTGTGGGGTGTCAAGAGACAAGCACCTTTTGTGCCTTTTACCTTGCAAAAAGGCATAAACATTAGGCACCTTGCTCATCGGAGAGTCTATGATGCAAAAGTATCTTCAATTTCTCCTTGAATCTAGTAAAGGTGTTCGTTTGAAAAATACCATTTGCATGATGCCTCAAATGGGGTGTGAAAACTTTCTTTTCCTGGAGCATTATTGAAGACAAATTTTTCCATCTTTATCTGGCAAAAGTTGGTTAATTTAATCACTACATAATGTTCTAAAGTTTATGGACATGCCCAAGGTTCACCAAACGCATTAAAAAGGTTGCTTTTGATTGGGCTTCTGCTAGGAAATATAAAAGTATATGTACCACTGTTCTTGAGTACAAGCAACTTAGATGCAAAGGCACATGAAATGACATGTACACTATGGAACTTCAGAAGGCCAAAATAATAATGATGATGATAATAAACGCATACAGATAATTAGTTGATTGGAAATATTAACTTTTAAGATTCAATATTGAGCACAGCATCTAGGGGTCTATACAATTAAGGATGCTTAGTTCATAGTATTCTCTATATCATGATATCGTAGGCTTACAATATCTTAGCATCTGTTGTAGCAAATGCAAATATCTTAATTTCCTTTAATGGGCCCCTTATCATTCAAGTGCCAGGGGAAAAAGCGAGAAATAACTACTGATTTCACTATGAATTTTTTTTTTTTTGGGGATTTCATAGCCTTTACCACCGCCACAATTACGTTTGTGAATTGAACTAAGTGTTGGGGCCAAAAGAAAAATGGTCAAATGTGTTATAGCCATCCTCATGCCTAACAGCAACACACTCAAAAAAGGACCTTTTTTTTTTTTTTTTGGGGTTTCATAGCCTTTAGCCCCACCACTGCGCCCCCCCCCCCCCCAAAAAAAAAAAACACACAAGTTACGTTTTGTGAATTGAACCAAGTGTTGGGGCTAAAGAAAGGACTTTGTACTCAATTGTGTTATAGCCATCTTCATGCCTAACAGCGACACAACTAAGATAGGTTGGCATGTTCGCTAAGAGCAACACATCCACATATTAGACATATTAGAAGTGAAGTCCACTTGGGTCTATGAATCAGCAGCATATAATTAGCATAAATCTTGTTGAGTACCACTTTGTCTTGTGTTATTATATCTCATGCCATTAGTGTAACTCAAAATCTTGTAAATTATGGTTGTTGAGACTTTCCCGCATAGAATCCCTACCAAAACTTATACTACATAATCTTTCTAATGGTGTTCTCACCCTCTCTATCTCTTGGGCAATATTATTGCTTTACAGCCTAAAAGCTAGCTAGTATTAAATAATTTTTTCTAATATTGAATTTATTTCCCAATCTGGGTGATGCTAACATGATATTCTATGCAGATAACAAGTTCACTTCTGTGCAATTTGCTTGATTTGATTGAGGAGGTTCAGTTAGCTCGCATAGAGATCAGAAATTTGGTGCAAGTCAAATTCTATTCTCAATCAGGTGAAAATTTTTACGTGACCTCCGTGAATATTACCATTTGAGCATAGTAGTTAGTGTAGATGATTAAAGTTTTGCATTGATTCTAAAATCTGAAGTACAATAAAGAATCAAAGAATTGCTATAAACAGCCCTAAAAGTTTCTCTCAATATTTTGTCTAATAAAAGTAGATATGATAATAATAAAAAAACCAGTCTAGCACCCATTCATCAATAGTCCTCAAATATTAGGATTTTCATTCTCCCTCTCAAGTTTGATCGTAAATGTTAATAATGTCCAATTTACAAAGGAGTCCTTTAAATGTATGAAGTGGTAAGCCCTTTGTGAGGAGACTAACCGTTTGTTCATTGCGGGAATATATGTCATGCATCCAATTGCTTTCACTTTTCCTTTGATGAAGTGTTTGTCAACTCCCTGTGTTTGCTGAGAAGTATATTAATTTCTCCTTTGCTGTTACGATATTCTTCGGTATGAAGTTTTGCACTAATGTGTAATTCTTCAAACAGTTTTTTTGAGCCATAACCCTTCACACATCACTTGAGCCAAGGCTCCAAATTTTGCTTCCGTACTGCTACTTGCCTCCACATTTTTTTTCTTCTCCACGTCACTAGGTCTCCCTATACAAAAGCGCAATATCCACTGGTTGATCTTTATCATCTACTGAACCTAGTCGGTATTTGTATAAACCTGAGCTCATTGTCCCTTTTTAAACAAAAGACCTCTTTCTGTTGATCCTTTTAGGTGCTCGAGAATTCTGTCCACGGTCTTTAGATGTGCCTCCTTTGGTGAATGCGTATATTGACTAACATCACTCATTTTTAAATTTATTTGCCCTCATGTTTTTCTTTGATACTGCTATCATAATTTGGCGCAATCTCTCATGGTTTTTGAATATCATCCATTTTGCTTTTATTATCTGTATTTTTGTTTTCCTCAAATTTAAAATTAGAGGAGGTAGAATTGGATGGAGATCATGAGCTTTTAGTGCATACTTAATGATGCTAGATTCTTTCGGTTTGTGAATAATATTATACTAATTATTCAATTACAAATATGAAACTTCATGGATCTGAATTTCAAATTCAATTGCCTTTGGGTTGTTAGCTTCAGTTTTTTTGGTAAATGTTCCTTAATTTGGAAAAATTGTAAATTAATTATTCAATTAAAAGAATGTGTGGTTTAATTTTCGAGTAAAATTTCTCAAGAAAGAATTTGCAAATATTTTGACATTTGACAATAGCATTCCCCGTTGGAGTTTTGAACTTGAGGTAGTTCTGGTGCTTGAGGTTTTATATAATCTTGCGCGCGAATCAGATCGGACTGCCCAAATGGACTATGAACTATGAATATATTGCTGTCAAAACTATTATTGCGAAATTTGTCTGATTACCTTATTCCGACTTTGATTTACTTGATTCGTAAATACAAAATCTGGAGTTTCATTTAATGTTTGTTGAATTTGCAGTTGGCGTGCTTGAGTTGCTGCTTTACTTCATTGACCTTAATACTGGCAGGAAGTTTAAAGTGGTTTTTGACATGACCTGCTTGAAATGGTAAGGTCCTTTTTAAGGGTCTTTTTCTTCTTGACTTTAGCTGTTCTTGGCTGCTTATTCTGTTTTTCTTTTTTCTTTTTTTTTAATTAAAAAAAAAACAGAGAGAGAGAGAGAATTTGGGTATTCAAGCTTATATATACATAATTCTTTTGCCAACGCTACATGTGCTTAATTGCTATTTACTTCCAATTGAATTAGGATATGTGCATTTTTTTAATCCATGACTTGTAACTAATTCTTGTTTTTACATTTTTTAAAATTTTAAATCCACTTATTTTGGTTTAACTAGAAGAATGCATTTTAAGTTTTAATGCCTATTTCTTTTTGGAAAAGAAAAGTTCTGCATGTTACTTGCTGAACTTGACAGTTAAACTTCAGTGAGCGCTATGTTGGGTTTAGCAATGGGGAGAGTAGGATAGGAAAGGGTAGGGCAGCTATTTTAAGGGCAATTTGGAAATTAAATATTATTATAGGTATAATATAATCTAATAATATTCTAAAAGCCTCCCCTTCAAAAAACTCTTTTTGGAGGGTAGGGATAGATGTAACAAAAAAATGTTCATGTGGTTTAACTAACTTACATATTTACTTTTGATATTTTTGTAAATTGTAAATGAAAAATCGAAAAAATATATTGTACTTTATTTCTATAAATTAATATATAAAACAAGTTTATACAAGGTTATAATTTTTATGAAATGATGCTATAAAGTTATCTGTTGAATAAGAGGAGCCGTTCTATTCAATTGCTCTGGGAGAAAACAGGAATCCAATTCTATTGCTTGACACGGAACAATCTGAAGATTTTCACTGGTTGTTCTGGTGGGTTGGTTTGCCAGCAACTGTTCAAAACCTTTTAGATTACTTAATTTTTCACCCTGCTATCTATTGCTGTGTTTGCCTTCAATTCATAGTGTCAATGCTCACAGTCTCACCAATATGATGCTTATCCTCTATTCAAGCAGCTTTGATTGTGCATTTAACAACTATGACTGATTTCACTGATGATTTCTGAGCAGTGGCGTCTATCCAATAGAAATTCTTCCATCTCATATATATGATGTCACTTGTGGGGAGCAAAAGCCCCTTTCTCGGTCGCTTGAAGGTGATATAAGAATAGCAGCTGAGAGAGTGACAGCTGGTTATTCAAGAATTATGAGGCTTTGTAGGAGTATTTCCCAGGTAGTACAGACGTGATCAACATCTTGTTGGACTGTTTGTTACTCTTTGATGGCCCACCTAGGTTCTTGCCTAATTTTGTATTTGGGCTTAGCATGTATGGTATGTAACAAGAGGTATTGCTCGAGGCATGGACTATTGCAATGTAAAATGGAACAAGGGTCTATTGTCTCATAAGCACAACCACTTCCATCATTTAAATTGCAGAATATCCTGCCGTAGCATCCAGAGATGTGCATTTGATTTTTGAAAGATACTTTGTTTATTTTTATCTAAATTTTCAGGTGTGATTAAGGATCTTAACTTGTACTGATAGTAATGAACTATTTTGAGAATTGGAATTCTTTTATGATCATAGGGATAAGTTACTATTGCTAATTTTTTAAAATAAAAGTTAGTGATAGTATTAAATAGTCAAAGTTTCTAGCTATTATAATGTTTTTTGTTAGATCCAATGTTTTGATAATAACAAAACTAGAGAAGAGTTTGTTTTGTAGAAAAATATTAATACTCACAATATCTAAATATGGCTCCGTGAGTAACTCTTAATATTTTCAATGTTAACTTGAGTCGGTTCATATCACCCGAGGATATCAGTGCTCCTTAGGTCTTTTGAGTACACATTTGGCGTAGACTTGAGTTAGCTTTAGTTTTGTCTCAAGGACTTTGGAGTCGCCTAAATGTGTCGTTATACTGTGATTCAAGTTACTCTGGTAATGTTTTGAGATCTTAGTCTAGCATCTGAAATTGTACTTGTCTTATAACCCAAGTTAGACTTAATGTCACCCCGAGGCCAGAGTTGGTTTTGAATTTTCTGAGTAATTGCTTGTGCTCACACCTCGAGGTCAAAAGTAAATCTAAGTTGTTTAGCTATTTGTTTTAGCCCAAGTCAAGTTTTTCTCAACTCCTGTCTCAGCACTCTTTCTGCACTCAAAATGATATGGGTTTATCTAACCCATATAAAGTCATAATAAGAGTTCATGATTATTCACCAAGATATTTGATTATCATAACTTACATTTGGATAGAAACCAAACTATAATTTTAAAAGTGATTTTGTGATATATGAAGTATGTAATAGAAGTTTTTTCTCGACTTATATAAAAGCATATTTTAAAATTGCGTTTTGTACTAACCAAACACCTCTTGAGTCGAGATCTATTCTGATATGGTTTATGCTTTTGATGTCACATTTTTAGATTTTGTACTTATCATGAAATATTTAAGTGTATTCATCTTGGATAGTGTGTTTAATTAAGGTTGTATGTGTCAATATGAAAAGTGTGATTCAAGTTCTCAAATATTCGTGAAAGTTGAAGGGTTGTATATTTTAGATTTTAGACATTGAGTTCAGATCCATGCTAATATAGTTTATGCTTTCAGTCTCACATTTTTTAATTTTGTACTCATCATGAAATTAAAAAAGGGGTTTAAGGAGATACCAATCAAACAAGTTCACGAGAAGTCTGTATAAAAGGGAGGGAAAAAGAGAGAGAGAATAATCAATTATTTCTGAGGACAAAGGATATAAGCTCACAAAATTTAAAATAGTAGAAGATTCTACAAAGTTTGCAAGAATCTTTGATTTTAAAAATTGGCACTCCTTTAACAAGCATGGGCACTTAAGAGTTACAATGCTTTTGGAGAAGGAAGGGAAGAAAATATATCTTATAGTTCCAATATTGTGAGATACATCATTGATAAAAGTTATATGCTCATGATGAGCAAGGGATATGAAACCGTAGAGGAGAAAGGAGATAAATCAAATGATGAACTTGTGAACATGCATTAGGATAATTTTCCTAATTAGAAAAAGGGAGAAGAATGACAAACTTCTAGATGAGAATAGTAAATCTCAACAATCAGTAAGCTCCATTTAAAATTCCAAAAATTTTAAGAGGTTGAGCCAATTTTCTTCTTCATAACTAGTTAGATTTTGTCTCTCACATCCTCTAATATTAAATATAAGAGCTAATTAGAGTTATAATTGGTTCTAAATATAAGATTTCAATTCTATATCTTCCATATTTATTCATTTTTCCTCAAAGTAGTCCCTATGGTGATTGAGCATGTTAAATGTTTCGATTCTAATGTACATAATTAATAAGGGTATTCAAGGAATGAACACTATTTATCACAAATAACTAATTTACCTAATTTTTTAATATTATAAATTAGTTATCTAACTCTTATGTTAAGCACCGAAAGTAACATTTACTAAGAGGATATTGTTTGGGCCAAACAAAGCATATCATGATGCCCTGCATAACATAAATAATTTGGTATAAGATTAGCTCTCAGGAGGTTGTACACAATTGAAGATCAATAAATTAAGTTATGACAACATATATGAAAAAGGGAAGGATGATTCACTTGAGTTCAGAAACGAGCAAGGGCACGTTCATGGAAGAAGTTTGCTTCCGGTAAAGCTCAATATATGAAAGTAGGAGCACAGGGCACACTTAAGAGGGAGTGTGTCACATCCCACAAAATTTAATCCTGATAATAAGTAAGAAAAATTAAGTTAAGGGCTAATAGGAAAAATAGACTGGCTGACGAAGCCCAACATGACATTAAATCCAAACAGGGTCCGGATTGATATTTTTGAAATTATCGGTCCAGGAAGGACAAAATAAAAAAAATTGAGAAAATTTTAGAAAATTTCCAAAAAAATAAAAAATTGGTAAATTAGAGGTTTTAGAACCTATTTGAGGCCGTGGAAGTAAAAATAGCATGAAAATAGCTTAATACAGAGTTTTCTCAAAACTGAGGTTTTCTAGGAAGAATAGTAGAAATTGAGCAAAAGTAATTATTTTAATTATGTAGAGGCCTCAATAATTTCTGAAAAAATATGAAAAATTTATTCAAGATCTATTTGAATTTATAAAATTGGTTCCAAGCCCTGGAAGTGTAGGAATTAATTTTAGAATATTTATCACCAAAATCTTATTGGTAAAGCTTGATTTCGGAGAAAAGTCAAAATAAATAGTTAGAGGTTGAGATAAATTTTGAAATTTTTCATGGGGATTTCCTATATTAAAAGAGGATTTTTGATGGAGAGAAATGAATTTTTTGAGGCTCAAAAATATTTTTGAAAAGAGTAACCAAAATAGTGAGTTTTGGTTAAAAATTGATATTTATGATTGGACCACACTTCTTTTCCTTTTTAAATCAGTTTTTGGGCTTCATATTGGGCCAACAAAGTCCAAAAATTTCATGGAGCCGTGGCCCAATAATTAAAAAGAGTTTAAACCCAATTCAAGCCCAAAATCTAAAAGAAAAATCAAGAAGGTACACTTGGCTTGATCTAAAAATTGAGGCATATGATGAGGGACACATGGCCCCTTTAGGTGGCAGAAAATGGTGCCATCTTGGAGTGGAGAGGGTCAGATTTTGAGCTCTATAAATACCCCTAAAAAGACATAATTCAGCCAAATTTGGGAAAATTAGGGAAAATTCTGTCTAAGTGAAAACTCAACCTTAAACAGCACCTAAAACTTTCCAAATCAAGAAAAAATTATCAAGTTTAAACAAGGATCCATTAAGGTATGTCTAAGCTTGATTTTGGTTAGATTTAAAGGTTGTTTTGATTAAGATTTCATGACAAAACCTAAGGCCACATGTTGTGAAATTTCAAGCAGTTTAAGAATGGTTTAGAGAAGCATAGAAACCATGAATATGAGCTTGGAACTACATGTTTGATTGATGTTTGGATTGAATTTTGGAAGAAAACCATAGTTAGGATTATATATACCCTATTCGGCCACTATGCAATTTTAATGTTAGAGATTGTTTCAATATAATTTGATGATTTCAATGAGTTTAAAAGGTATTTTTGTGTAGGGAAACGCCAAGGAAAAGTATTCAAAATTATTGGAATAAAAAATAAAAATTTTGGAATCCTAACCCTACCTATTCGGCCAAATCAGTTTGAAAGAGAAGAAGTGTGATTTTGTTAAATATGATTTGATATTTGGATTTATATGAAAAATTATGTAGAAATGGCCCAAGAGATTGATTAAAACAAAGAGAGAATAATTATGTCAAAAATCAAGGGAAAAGGACTTTAATTGAGTTTAATGTTGAGCATTAGTGTTTGTGCTTGAATTATTGGTAATTTGGAATGTATTTATGCTTGGGTTGATAGGCATTTTGCAAGAAATCAAAGAGGAGCACAAACTTTCCAAAGAGGCCGAATTGAATAGTTAGTCGATAGGTAGCATTGAACTCATAATTTGAATGCTTTCTTGCTTGTTTAAATGTGTATGTGTTATTTGATTTATGTTGTCATGATGTGATTGAGCAAGTTATGTGATAATATATGGAACTCTATGTTGAATATGCCTTGGCAATATGTTATGAGGAATGGCATAATGTCTTGTTTGATTGCTCTCTTTCCAGGGCAAATGATATGCACATAAAATGTTGCATAATGATGTTAATTTCATGATCATATGCTATATTTTTACATAGCATGAATTGCATGACAATTATAATTCATTACTATTGAGATTTCTATAAAATTTCATTCTTTTATGTTTAAATATTCACGAACTGGGGGTTGGAACAAGCAAGGACAAAGGAAAGAAGATCATTTTGGGAGATAATTAACTATTATGCCTCTTGAAACAATGTTTGTAACTACTATGAATTATTATGGATTGTTGTGAATTATGTTGAAAATTTATATTAATGATCAAAGAGTGGTATGCGTGTTAATATTTGACCAAGAAATCATGTTTTGGCATGAGTTATGTGATTGGAATGGTCATATGGAATGAAAAGAGAAAAAGAACAAAAAATGACAATAAAAAGACATAAAAGTAAACTTTTTAAAGGTAAAGTTTGACCAATAAAATTCTGTGTAATTGATTGAGAATGTGGGTGAAATTTGACAGGCTTATAAATCATATTTTTTAGCTTTAAAACAAGTGGTATTTCATTAAATTTCGAGTTTTGTATAAAAAGTTATGTCCTTTCAAAGTTGGGCATAAATTCTGGAAAATTAAAACATTACCATATAAACAGTACCACTTTATGTGAAATCTAGGACTGATTGGTGAATTCTGGATACCAATGAGTAGTTTTTCCTTAAAGATTACATTAAGAGCTTTAAGTAGAACTTGGAACTACTTCATTTCGATTTTTCTAAAATTAGTTATGATTTTTCAAAGTTTAACCTTTATTAGGGTTACAATGAATAGTAACCCGAAATTAAGTGAAATTTTAAGTTTGAATTTTTCTAACTTAGGGTCTTAATAAATGATTCCAAATGGTTCCAATTGAGGTAAAATATGGTTTAAAAGTAAGGTGTGACAGAGTGAATTGAGACTAA